AGGGGGAGGGGGAAGGTGAAGAAACCGGCAAGAAAGCTGAGCCCAGGAAGACGGGAGAGGTGGGGGGAAGGTGTTTTGACTTTAAGAGCTGGTTGTATCTCCCATTGTTCTACTCTGATGTTGGTAACAAACTAAAATTGTTTTGTTTTTATTCCTTATGAGGAGTCTGTCTTTTGCCTGTGACCTTTTTAAGTGGTGAGAAGCCCTCCCAGTCCTTATTTTGACTAGCCCTTTTTGGGGCATCATGGTGCTCAGTTATGCACTGGGCCTAAACCACGACAATAACCGATAGGCAACAGAAGGCAATTCTTCAGTCAGAGAGAAATGAGTACCCAGTAAGAAAAGAAGGTCACACAGGTCCTTTTTTCTCTTCTGTAGCTTGGCTGGGGATCCTATTTTGATCATGCAGTCACCTGGAACAAACACATTGAGGATGAGAATACTATGATCATAATATATGAAGACCTGAAAGAGGTAAAGGAGATGCTGTGTAGGGACAGGCAAAACACATCTGAGCCCATTCCTTGAAATTCGCTGATATTAACAGTGCAAGGCACAGGTTTCTGAAGAAGTAAGATGGCTATACAAAAGCTGAGCTCCAGTGTAATGCAGAAAACACAGACTGTGAAGGAAAATATATATTGTTAATAGATGATGGCAATGCACATCCCAAGTGGGCAACTCGTTTTTCACAGGGAGCGTATTGCATGCCTCTCTTTTGCTGTATTGCTTTCAGAACCTGACTGCCAGTGTAAAGGAGATAGCTGAATTTTTTGGATTCTCTCAAGCAGTCAAGCAGATCCAGTCCATTGCAGACAGGGCCACTTTCCAGGCAGTGAAGGATAAGGCACAGGAGACTCATGATGATGTTGGCTCAATTATTTTCCGCAAAGATAAATTTGTTTGTATTTTGTCAGAGTGGTGAATGGTAGCACTACATTTTGAACAGATAGGAATTTGGGTCAGTAGGTGGTTAATCTTTCTGTATAATTTTTGAAGTTGGGAGTTGTTTAAGAAACACTGATTGTGATTAAGGGGTTTTCTAAACAACATGTGTGATTGCCTAAGAACCTCAGTTAACACATGGAATGCAGACACTCCACAGCCTGAGCTGTGTCTTTTAGCCATGGATCAAGCTGTAGCTGTAAACTCAGACAACCTCATACTGTGGGCTCTCCAACATCTAGATTAAAGGTATTCTGCTGTTAAAAGCCACATCTTCGAACTTTCTGTGTTGGTTTCACAACTGCTGGTCATCTTTTATAGTCTTCTGTAGCTGTACGAGACACATGTCAAAGCTAGAAAGGCAGACCAGTAGCTTCCGGTGTTCGCTTTATGTTCACATTCTATTGAGGATACCAAGTGTAAGGCAACCATAAGAGTGTGTTCTTGGGTCAAAGATTCTTTTCTTGCAGGGGAAAAAAAGAAACAAAAATGAAAAAAAAAAAAAAGGATTATCCTGAAATATAATAGTAAGAGAGACAGGGTAGTTTTTTTGTTTTAAATCATACTCCTTGGTCCTTACAGTCAAGGGTAATATTTTACTTTTCTTTATGTTCCAGGTGTTGTTGGAGATCGGAAAAGTCTTTTCACTGAAGCTCAGAACCAGGAAATGGATGCCAAATTCAAAGTGTGCTTAAAAGTAACTAAGCTGGGAGCAAAGTTAAAATATGATGTGTACTGCAAGGCTTGAGCCTCCTTCAGAGAAAAAAACTCATGTCCAGGCTGCTTTTCATTCACTTTTACAAAATAAAACAGAAACCAGGACAATATATGATCTAAAAATTTTGAGAATCCATGCAATTTGCAAACCTGTTTCTGCTGTCTTAACTTACACAAGCAATCCTTGCTCATGCAGTTAATATCATTGACTTCGCTAAATTCTCTCAAATGATATGTAGTTCTTTGGTCTCTTTTGGTTTTTAACACTGATTTTTAGCTATGATTTCATGTTACCTGGTAGAATCCTGTGTAGGATATATATAAATATACGCAGTAGTTAAACCTGCTGAAATCACTGGAAATGTATGCAGTGTGTTGAAAGTCATTTTCCAAGAGATTTTTTTTTAAGCAATAATGAAGTGTAATTTTGGCTCTTAATTTCCAAGTTCGTAGTGTTCATATATAATTTTAATTTCTAAGTTCATAGTGTAAAATGAAATTTCAAAATGTCTTGTTATAGTTGTCTTTTGGCACTTTCTGTGTGCTGATAAATGTGTGAAAAAAGTAAAGGAACTTAGTGATGGAAATTTTCTCCCCCTTCCGGCAATAATATTTTCCTTTCCTTTGGTAGTGTGAGATCTCTTGAGTGATTGAAGGAATTGCCAGAATTTGCTCATGGAGGTTGGAGTCCCCCTCCTGGTGGTGGCTTGCTTTGTCGCTTAGCCTCAACAGGTTTACTCATGGCAGAAATTGGAAACACTAGTTGAGTATACCAGGTTTTGTCCACATGATTATCAGGACTCCTGAGCACCTACCCTGCTTTGGATGTTGAGGAGGCACATGAAGAAGCTCTTGGCTGGGCAGAACTGGGAGGAAGTCGCTTCTTTGTGGTATCAAGGCAGGTGGGGGTTGGAAACCATATGGTTGTCTTATTCGGAAGAAGGGACTTTTTAGACATGAGAGAAGGAAGTGTGCTACTTGCATAACTCTGGAAACAGAGCCTGGGTTATCTGTGTTTGCCTGAGTTACTTTATGCCTAACAGTAGTACATATGATTTTAGACCCAGCATGTGGATTTTTTCTGGACATCTTTCTGGAAGAAATGCCCACTGTCAAGAGCAGAATGACTCTCCTTTGGTGGTGCTGGAAGACTGGTGTGCACAAGATGGTTGAACATTGAACAGACTCAGAAAGGGCTGATTTTTTAGGCTGCAGGTCTTTCATAGCTGGTTGTTTTCCTCACCAGAGGCAATTCTTTATCTCTAAAGAGAAGGAATACAAAGGGAAAAGTACTCAGGGAAGGAATATGGGGGTAATGGGCACACAGTGGCTGATTTAGCCAGTAAGGGAGATTAAAGTCTTCCTCCTCATAGTTTGTCAGCTTCTGTCTGAGAATAAATTGTTTTAGGTGCGGTAAATGACTTGATAGAAGAGTGTTTGTTGGGTAAAGAACGTACCCCCAAAAAACCCCCTTGAGTATTGGGTACTTGAGTTGACACAGATGGACTCTGTGAGACCTTCTGCTGCACGTTTGGTTAGCTGATAGTAAACTCAACAAACTCCTGGTCATTCAGTGCTAATGTGAATCTCTTTCTAAAGGTCTGCCAGTGACAGGGGAATGATTAAGACAGGTTAACTTCAGTGTGTAGTTTGAAACATCTTGTCGTTTTGTAGTCGGGTCTCCACAAAATCTTGTTTGTTTGTCTTTCCTGGCATATTGCCCTTTAATATTCTTCCATTCTAGCCATGTTTGCTGTAGCAATGAAAACTGCATACAGCTCACTGATGGTCCAAAAAACCTCCAGCTTTTGGTCCTTTAGGTTGACTAGCTAATATGCTAGTGTCCCAAAGACATGGTGGGAAGAAAGGATTAATGTGTATGTGAATTTGCTTTCAAAATTAATAGCTGTAATAATGGCTGTTTAAAATAAGTAAACCAAAAGTGGGGTACTAATGAGGATTCAAGAGCAAAATAGAACACACAAAACCACACTGAATCAGAATGAAGTTGGTTTATACCAAACAAATGAAAGTTTCGTGTCACTAAAGCTGTGCCACACAAATCTGAAGTTCCCTATTAGCTTTACATAGGCACTGGAAAAAGCAGGAGTGTCCCTTGAGTATTTGCCTCAGCTGTACCTGCTGGAGCAGTAGGTCAAGATCAATTCTAAGCAATTAATAAAAGGAAGTTCAAAAGGCTTTCGTTAAGGATAGTGTTGAAACAGGAGCACTACCTATTACAGTAGGTTGCCTGAGTTACTGACAGGTCAGTAATAGCCAGCCTGTCCACTTAAACCGCTGTATTTCTCGGTTTAAGATGACAGTGAAGTATTCCAGGGCAGTTCAAGAAGAAATCCTGTCTTGAGATGCTAAATAGGCTACTCCTAAATTTTTACATCTTTTTGACCAGTGAGGTTATTTACACTGGGGTTTTTTATTTTATATAGCTGAGTGAATATTTTATAGGTGACATTCTTTGTTTCCCTCAGTCTGATCTGCACACCCTTCTCAGCACATATTCATGTATGCAGCAATTGCCAACTAATGATGAACATTAAAAAACATCGAGTGTAAGACTAGACAGTCTGAGGGGTGACTGATTTTGTTGTAGCTTTCTGTGTGCTGTAGGTTCGGTTCTTTTAAAAATTATGCGATGGGGTAACAGGGAAGAAAGCAAGAAATAATGTCACGAGCAAAAGAGAGAATTTGTACTTTCCTCAAGCATTTCAACACATTCAGGATGAAAAAGCACTGTGAAGTGCCTTGAGATGGCGGCAATGAAGGTTAAATCCAGTTGCTCATAATGATTGCAGCTATTGAAAACAGCTAAACTAAACAAAAGATTCAAACCCATCAGAAAAATTAAACTCCTCATTGTGGAAAATCACTGGTCTTATATCCTTTCAGCCATACATATAGGGAGCAATTCTGGATATATATTTTCTGTTTCTATGTTTTATACTTTATATATGGTTTTCCCTTTTATACTTTTCTGTTCATTATGGTACTTGGCAGTAAAACTTTAAATGGTATTTTTGACACACAATATTTAAGGAATATGTTGGATCATTCAGCTTCTATAGAAGATATTTTTTCACTCCCTGACCATGGATTTGATTTAATTTTTTCTGTATTTGTGTCCTGCTTCACACTTACTATATTCCAGCAGTTGTAGGTATTTATGGTGTCTACATTTATGGTAACTGGTAAATGCTGCTCTATTAGTACTTTTGTCACCTCCATTTCCCTTATGAGCTGTTCAGTAACATTCATAAGGTAGGAAAGTATATCAAAATGATACTGAAAAAGAGAAATTGGAACTCTTCTTGGAAAAGAGAGGCATAAATGTATCTTTTGTATGCAAGAGACGGCTCCCCTGTGTGTGTTCAGGGTGTCAATAACCCAACCAAAAAGGAAAAGAATTCTGCTACTGAATTATAACAAAAGTAAAATGGGATCAAAGCAGACAGAACTGAGTTCAATTTTCTCATTTACAAAATGTGAGGTTTTCATATTGCAGCATTATGCAGTACATTAATTGGAAAGATAATTAATGTTGAATTACAATAACAGTGCTGTAAAAGTACAGGGTAGAGATGATATCCACAAGAACATCAAATAATTTTGTTCTGAGAGTAGGCTGGCTATTAGAAAGGATGCCAAATGGATTTATAATGAAGGGGGGCATGAAATACAGTCATTGCAATCTTGTTATGACAGCAAATGCCTGGACTTGTATTCTAATGGGGTTTTTGTTAAAGCCCTAACACTTTGATCTGAATTTTGGCTGAATGATCACCTTCGGTGGGGATTAGCACCTTCTGTTTTACTCTTAACACACCTGCAGTGCTTGGCAATGTTCACTGGAAGTGTTGAAATGAGACTGGTTGGTGATTCTTAGGGATATTAATATTGTTGGGACTGATGCAAAGGAGAGAAGTAGAGAACGACAGCGTTACGAATGACAGCATCCTGTGTCAGTGCTGTGTCTGAACGCACTGCTAGAGCGCTCTGCTAAAATGTTATTTACATTCAGATGTTTATGGTCATGATACAGTTGTCCTGTATTGCAATCACACTTTTTAATACTTGTAGATTGGATAGTGTGAAATATTGGCCGATTTAGTTTGCATCTGAATGGAAAGTTTTTTGTATGATCATTTGGCTTCTGTAAAAACTTTACATGCTGGAGGAAGGCAGAAAATTAGTCTTTGACTTTCCTCAAAATGTGAGGCCATCAGGAGCAGTCAGGAAATGAAAGGAGGCTAGGAAATTGGTGTCTTGGGAGGCTTGTGTACTTGTGAATAATATAAGCTTATTGACATATGCTTGTGGGGTCTCCAGCGAGTTCCCTGCTGTTTTGCATTTTACAAGCCAGTGAAGCCATTTTCATGACTACAACAGTCATTAGCATTTCCCCCAGCAGGTAAATAAGTCATAGTTTCATTATTGTGTATTTCTGATATATCCATAGGCAATGTATTTATATTTAGAGGAAAAAAATAAATACAAGATAATCTTAGGCTTCAGCCATGTTCCAAAAATGTAAAAAATACACCTCTTCTTCATTTATTTTCTGCAGGCACAGAGAGTGATCAAAGTAACTTCTGCAGATGACCGGGCCAGTCTCTTCTTTCATTCTCTATGCTGTCTACAATTTTCTTTTTTTTTTTCTGGTGTCCCAACACAATTCACTGTTTTTTCCTGATGGCACAGATTTTTTTCCCAAACTGTTATTTATTTAGCAAACTGTTAATTCTTCTTCTTTTTGTTTGTTCCTGGCAAGCCCCTGTGTTTGTCCTCACTTGCAGCGTGTAAGTATCTGGACACCCACCTTTCTTGCTGCTGTGCCAGAGACACTGTTAGCCATTTATGCATCACCACAGAAAAGTTACTTTAATGTTGTTGTGCTGACAAAATATATTTAGAAACTTCATGCATTGAGGCTGTAAGGTGATGAGACCTTATGACAGTGGGCGAGGGGACCCTGGGGGACCTGAGGGAGCTGGGGCATCGCCTGCGGGAGGCTGC